TCCTTCTCTTTAGCTTGTGTTCACCCTCTCTCCTTCCCTTCTCTTTCAGGTTTCTAGAGAGAGGCATCACCTGTCCATGATGCGTCTCCATGTTTCCATGTTTTTTCCTTCTATTTCTCAACCCTTTCCAGCCTAGCTTCCAAGCCTCTCCACTAGCAGTGACCTTCTGGTTCTAAATCCAGTGGACTCAGTCTCTGTCTTCCTTTAAAGCAAGGGTGGGGAACCTTTTTTCTGCCAAGGGGCATTTGGATATTTATAGCATCATTCACAGGCCATGCAAAATCATCAGCTTAAAAATGAGCCTGCTGTATTTGGTCAAACATTTCATTAACTCACCCCTAATGCTGTGGCAGGGCCAGACCAAGTGATTTCACCAGCCTATACGGCCCGTGGGCCAGACGTTCCCCACCCCTGCTTCAAAGGAACAACTTGTGAGCAAATATTCAGTGCGCATTTACGTGTACAGTGCTTCGTTCTAGGGATGGTCGTTGACTCTTAAAAGCTCATGGTCAAAATCTGGGAAGCATGCTCAGTTCCTCTGATTCTCTGTAACAGTCCTTACTCTCTATTATACCTGAGGGTTTACTTACCTGTTAACTCTTACAAGCCCCTGGAGGGCAGTAACTGTCCTGTTTATCGCTGTAAGTCCATCACCTCCGTAGCTGACATATATAAATCAGTAAGTAAACATGGAAACTGGAGCCCAGAGTAAGCAGGAACTCCTGGCAAAGTCAAGATTCCAGCCCAAATCTTCTGCCTCTCGGTGAGGTCTCTCTGCTCTTTCGTTGCCCTGGGAGATCATTCTTTTAGATTCTTGTGTCCTTGTGCTCTCTGCTTTGCCTCTCCCAGGCATCTCTTTCCTCTTAGCCATGTTTGATCTCCTTTCTGCGGTTCCAAGATCATTGTCCTTGATAACGAAGTGAAAACTAAACAGTCCCTGGCGCTCTGCCTCTTTCAACTTGTCTGTCAGCATCGCGAAATCGGCCCCAAGCCGGCTCCTCTTTTTGTTCATTGCGTTTTCCAAATATAGCTTTGGAAAAGGTTTTGACCCTCCTCATGGTGTACATCAAAATAAATTCCAAACGGACTAAAAAGTAAGACATACAAATACAACCAAAGGAAATTTTGAAGAAAGTAAAATAGAAATTGAATCCCTGGAGGGAAAAGAATTTGTAAGGGACAGTAATGCTAGGAGAAATCAGGTGTATGAAATATAAAAATACATGAAACTATAAACTAAATTAGCAACAACAAAAAATGAATACCACCAAGATGCTTAAAAGTCTAGTAAATGTGACAGACATGGTTATTATTGGGAACGTTGACAAGAAAACCATTAGGACCCTGGCAGATAACGGGCAGGAGACTGAACACATCACACAGAAGTAAATAAAACTAGTGAACAACAGAAATATGTTTAACTTTCCTCACAGCCAGAGAAATTCATGTGAAGGCAACAGGATGCCATTTATCACCCACCACATCTTTAAAGAATGTGTTTAAATTGTAATGCGTGATCTTGGCAAGAGTGCAGTGACAGATGCGCTCAAAGGCTACCGGTCAGGGTGTAAATGGGGTCAAGCTTTTTGGAAAGGAAATGATAACTTGGTACCAAGAGCCATCACCCAAAGAAAGGAAAAATCTGCATGCAAAGATTTTTTAAAATACTTTTATTAATGTCAGAGAGGAAGGGAAAGGAAGAGAGAAATAGAAACGTCAATGATGAGAGGGAATTATTGATCGGCTGCCTCCTGCACGCCTCCCACTGGGACCAAGCCCGCAACCCAGGCATATGCCCTTGACCGGAATTGAACTCAGGACCCCTGTGTCTGCAGGCCAATGCTCTATCCACTGAGCCAAACTGGCCAGGGCGCAAAGGTTTTTATTATAGTGTTATTTGTAATGGCCAAACCCAGATGTAACCTAAGGAGTTTATTATGCAAATTATGGTTCTATCTGCTGTATTGTAGAGCAGCGTCCAGGGGTCTCCAGAGAGTGTGGGCACTTGGAGCAGCCATCACTGCCATTCTCACCCTTGTCCTTTGGTGCAGGCAAAGGTGGGGAAACAGCACTGGACTCAGTATTTTTTCAATACATTTTTATTGATTTTTACTTATAGATTTTTGATTTTTTTTTTAATCCTCACCCAAGGATATTTTTCCCATTGGTTTTTAGAGAGAGGGGGAGAGGGAAAGACAGAAATATTGATGTGAGAGAAACACATCGATTGGTTGCCTCCTACATGTACCCCAACCAGGGAAGGAGACTGTAACCGAGGTACATGCCCTTGACCAGAATGGAACCCAGGACCCTTTGGTCCACAGGCTGACGCTCTATCCACTGAGACAAACCGGCTGGGGCTGGAATCAGTATTGAAAACAGAAACCAGTCTCTTGCTCTGCCTCAGCCCACATCTTTGAGGTTCATTTTCTCCTGCTGTACAATGGGAAGAGTAAACGCTTCCCTGAGTGGCTCCCCATTGCGACACGGTAAGGAGTGAGTGCCATCGTGCACGAGACGGTGCTCATCTGCAGATGACGATCACCTTCAGAGACGTGAGATTCAGCAAGGCAAGCGCTGCCTGCCCACTGGGCGGAATGCCCAGCCACAGGGCCCAGGGGTGAGTGTGGAAATGAGATCAGCAGCACCTGGCACAGAGTAGCACATGCCACCCCGCTCCAGAGGTGCAGGCACCCACTTTTGGGCTCCAGGACACTTATGTAAGCCCTGATCTCTATCAAGCTGCTTGCCCCAGTTTCTTGTAGTGGTTGGCCAGATGATGATGAAGTTTCAGGCACAGAGAACAGCTTTGGCAATAAGTGGTAGATTTAGTGAATTAGAAATAATTGAGTATAACTGCTGTGTGGCATGGCTGCAGTGCTGCCCGTAGACCTGGGCAATGAGGGCGCCTGGCTCTCCACCACACTCTCTGCCATGGAGTGAAGAGGAATGTGCAGGGTCAACAGGGAAATGGCCACTCCAGGCCCGCCCTCCCTTGCTAGACTATTACCAGGTTCTAGAGACCTCAGAATTTCTTGCCCTCACAGCCAGTACCAAGTTCATTTCCATCCTCCTGAGGGCAGAATGCACCTCCCTCAGCCCAAGGAAGGCTGTTTGCAGAGGCTGTGAGTAGCACTTGGATGTGCGGGCTGGGCAGTCCACACACACATGCACAATACTTGTCATGTGTGGGCTGGGACCAAGAGGGGAAACGGAAGGGAGGCAGGCTGGGCCTCACTCTCCATACACCACCGTGGCCCAGCACAGATCTCTTAGAGGCAGAATTCTGAATTCAAACCTGGCCTTCCAGGTCGTTTTTCAAGGGAGGATAGAATATGTTTCATTTAACAGTTTGATACCTTAATTTGTGACTTTCAAATATTTAGAATCTAAAATGTAGACATGTGATACATGGACTTATATTTGTAATTTTGCCCCTGGCTGCACAAATATTAAGGATGAGCCTACATGGATGTGGGAGTGAGGGCTGGAGATGAGGCTGGGTAGGCAGGGAACAGACAGTGAAGGTTCTTACAAGCCAAAGTCACATCAGTGAGCTTGGACTTTATCTTGAGGACCAATGATAGCAGAAGCTAAGGAGCTAACTTTGTGCCAAACATATTATGTGCCTGACTTCTAATTGTCATAGCACGCACACACTGCGGGGTACAAATTAACTAGTCTTATTTCCTGCATTTTGTAGATGAGGATAATGAGACTTAGGAAGGGTCAAGAACTTGCCAAGGGACACAGAATTGGCAGTTAGGACCTCAGGGTTCAAAAATAATTACTGGGGCAGCCTGATCTGCAGGCAGAGGTGGGCTGACAGCGAGCGTGGTGGTGGGAAGGGTACAGTGTGGGATGGGTCCACCAGAAGCCATAGCCACAGATGGGTATTTGCTTGGTTCCCGGGGAGGAGGGAAAGGGAAAGGTCAAAGGAGAATGAGGACTCCAGTCTGAGTTGTTAGGGGGAAATGGTGGCTAGCTCCCTCATAGGAAATAGGTTTCTTAATGAAACCAGCCTATTGGGCCTTGGTTTCTTTAGGAGAAGACTGGACAAGACATTCTTAAAGGTCTCTTTTTATATTATTGCAATCCATGTTTTGAGGGTTGTTCATTGTTTACAATATTATCCTATATAATAAAAGGCTAATATGCAAAACGACAGAACAACCGGTTGCCATGACTCGCACTGACCACCAGGGGGCAGGTGCTCAACACAGGAGCTACCCCCTGGTGGTCAGTGCGCTCCCACAGGTGGTCATAAGCCAGGCTCATGACTGGCGAGCGCAGCGGCACTGGCAGGAGCCTCTCCTGCCTCCGTGGCAGTGCTAAGCCATCAGTCGGACATCCCCTGAGGGCTCCCAGACTGCGAGAGGGCGCAAGCTGGGCTGAGGGACCCCCCCCACACACACACACATACACACATACCCGCAAGTGCACAAATTTCGTGCACTGGGCCTCTAGTAGCATATATTTGTACAAAAAGTAAATGGCTTATATGTAACAGGCACTCAGGTATTTGTAGATTGGTTGATCCAGGTTAATCCTTAGCTCTGAAACATTTACATCTGTAAGTAGCCTTCTTTTAGAGCTCTTCTTCATTTTGCTTATATTTCTCTTAGTATGTTACCTGGCTCTCCTTCCATTCATGTACTATGCATGTGAACATTTTTGGATATGTCTTATATGTATATATTTTAAATAAGTATAGCAGATATTTAAGCCTATCTTTGTTTCTTTCTCACTTCATAATAATCATACCGTGTACTGAGATATTTCTACACAACCCTGTCTTTTCTACTGGATTACATCTCCTTTGGAGTAAGGAAAACAGAAACCAGACATACCCTTTTTTTTTTTCTTTTTTTTTTTAATTTCAGAGAGGAAGGGAGAGGGAGAGAGAGATAGAAATGTCAATGGTGAGAGAAAATCATTGATTGGCTGCCTCTTGCACGCCCCACACTGGGGATCCAGTCCACAACCCGGGCATATGCCCTGACCGGGAATCAAATTGTGACCTCCTCGTTCATAGGTCAATGCTCAACCACTCACACCGGCCATGCCAGGCCTACACTCTTAATTATTCAGACAAGCTGTCTCAGTGCGCAGTGGAAAGCCACGGAAGCTTTTAGCCCTGCGAAGGTCAAGATCAGATTTGTGTAGGGAAGTGAAGGAATTGAAGGAAGGCATGGTGGAGGCAGGGAGGACTGGTGGCTGCGAGGGTGAGAGTTGGGGACCTGGCCTAAGGTGTGAGCAGCAGGGAGCAGAAGGAGCAAACCCATCTGTCCTGCTTGTGGCTGCAGGAACCAGCCCTGGCGGCCCTGAGACGGCTTCTTCTGACAGCAGGAGGAAGAGGCTGCAGAAGAGCCTGCGGGGGCCAGGGGCCCAGGGAAACGCTGCAGTGCCTGGCTGGGAAGGCGCTCTCTTCCCAGATGCCTTCCCCCATTGCTCCCGGCTGTTCTGACAAGAGCAGAACAAGTTGCATCAGCAGGAGGCTGGCGGCTGCACACAGATGAGCTGGGTCCAGACTTGACTGAGGCAGGGACATTCCTGGAGGAGGAGGGATTCAACAAAGAATGCAGTCCACAGCTGGCCTTGAGGAGGGGTTTGACCATCCGGGGCCGGTGTCACTGGCGGCTTTACAGGCCTCTGTGCTATGTCCTGTGGGTCAGGGGAATGAGATGTGAGAGGCCTTGGGCCATATTTGATGAGGCCTTCTGGGGCAGGGCTGTGTCCTGGGGGCAGGCTGGGCAGTGTGGCCCAGCAGCAGGAAGGCCTCCAGTGCCCATCGCCCCCGCAGAGGCCCAGAGGGAGAATCTGGCTCCCCATTTGAATATGTGTTTGTGGACTGGCCTCCTACTGGCACCTGGCATCGCCAACCACACCCTCCGCTTCACTCTCTTGGCTTCTGTGACACTCACTCATGACCATCGTAGGTATGATTTATTGAGCTCTTACTATCTGCCAAATGTGGTATGTAATCTTCACAACTGTCTGGGAAGTAGGTCTTGTCCTTCCTGTTATGTAGGAGGAACATGAAGCCTCAAGAAATTACAGGACGTGCCCAGGTCACACAGATGTGGGATCCAGGTGTGACCCAGGCCTTCCAGACTCCAGGACCCATGGTCTCCCCTGCACCGTACACTCCCCAGTGCCTCTGACCTCTCTCTCTCTGTTTGTTTGTCCTCAGTCTCCTCTATCGGCCCCTCTGTGTCAACCTGCCCCTTACATGGTGGTGTTGACAGGATTCTGTTCAGGGTTCCCGTCTCTTCTCGCCCCATACCAGAGATTCTTCATCTCAAGTCAGCAGATGCCGTTGACTTCGGGGATTCTGTGACCTTCTCCAGTAGGGTGCACACTGTAATGTGTGTGTGCCTGTGTGTGTTTCTGAAAAAAGAAGCCATAGCTTTTCTTATAGGAGACAGACTGAGGTTTTGTTAGTACTTGATTTTTATTTTTTTATGGCTGGGGAAACACGGAAATGACCAAATCATATTGTGGTCCTACTTTCCCTTAAATTCCTGAAGGGGCTCTGCCTCCGGACAGTGACAGTTGGGGAAGATAAAATAGAAGCCCTGGGCTGTTCATTGCGCCGGTTCCCACTGCTCCAATGCAGGCTGACTGGGGCTTGGGACCCAAGCGCAAGCCTGCTGAGCTCCCCGCACACAGTGAACGAGGCAGAGACCAGGATGCTGCTCTGCCTCCACGTACTCCCTGCCCAGGAAAGGGTGAGGGTGGGAGAGGCAGAAGCTTTACCCTCCCCCCTGAAGCTTTTGTCAGATTCTCAGAGTGTAACCTCCTACAGTTCCACATGGTGGTTACATCCGGGACTTTCGGCGCTTGGGAAAAGCCGAGAGACATGGTTTCAGAGATGGCATCTCACGTCCCGGAAATACCCAGGTTCTGAGGTTGGATCCAGCTCTGATTCTCCAAGCTGTGTGTGCATCGTGGGCAGGTCTCCTCTGTGAAACGGGGTGTGGGACCCTTACCTTCGACTTCTGAGGGGGAACAGCAGTGACGATAATATACGTTATGGCAGAACACCCATCTTGGAGTCAGGACACTGTGTTTGAATCTTGGCATAGCCCTTGCATCACCTTGAACAGATTGCTTCATCTTGAGTCCGTACCTGTGAAGTTGGTGAAGGTTGATGAGATGTAAATAATGTCTGTGAAAACTAGCCCGGAGCCTGGCACACCCCCAGCTGTGCCCATTCCTGGCTCTCCCTCCCCCTCCCAAGCAGCCCCTGCGCTTTTTCCTCCTTAGGTGTGTGTGGGGCACGCATGGGCAGGAACCCCAGGTGGGGCACTGTTGGGGCCTGCCAGGCTCTGGAGAGGGGACAGGGGCTGTGCCTCACCTGGCACAGGCTGGCACCTGCCATTCCTTTCGGTCCACATTGGGCCTCCCAGGAGGGGCTTCTCCCCAGCTCTGTATCAGATCCAGGCCGTTTCTCTACCCTCCCCTTCCCTACTGGTGTCCCTATCTTTACCCCCTTGCACACGCACCTCTCCTGGACACAGAGGGAGATACAGGAGCAAGACGGACTGGAGGCTGCTCTCAGTCTCACAGGTGCTGGGACACGGAAGCTGCTCCAAGAGCCTACGCTGGGAGGACAGATAGACTTTACCAGAGAACGAGATGTTGCCGCGGAGGTGTGGCTGGAGCAGAGTCGGCCCACAGAAGGCAGTGGAAGATAAGCCGAAGGAGTCCTGGCCAGTGGGGAGCTTTGTTGCTGCTGAGAGCAATGGAGGAGCCTCAGATGGACTTCATGCCCCCGTAACACTCACTGCCAGGGGCTGTGCTGGGCTACAGACATGGATCAGCTGTGAACCTCGGCCCTGCATGGCTTAGGGTCGAGATACACCGCTAACGATGGTGATGAAAACAGCCGATCAGGTGACTGTGAGCTGGCACTCAGCCCGAATTACCTAATTCCCGCAACAGACCATAAGATAAATCCTGGTAGTATCCTGGTTTACCCATAGGAAATGGTGAGCTCCTTGCCAGGGCCTCCCCACAGTGAGGGACTAGAGCTGAAGGTGCATCCAGTCCGTTCAGGCTCCTATAACAAAACACCACAGACTGGGTGGCTTATAAACAACAGGCATTTGTGTCCACCATTCTGGAGGCTGGGAAGTCCAGGATCCTGGCGCTGGCAGAGCTGGTATTTGCTGAGGGCTGCCTGGTTCCTAGACTGCCTTCTTTTTGGTATGTCCTCACTCGGTGGAAGGGGCAAGGGATCCCTCTGGGACCTCATTTATAAGGGCATGGATCCCACTCATGAGGGCTCCCCCCTCATGAACTAATCACTTCCTAAGGGCTCACCTCCTAATACCACCACCTTGACTTTGGGGACGTAGGGGGAGGAGGGTTACCTTCAAACCATAGCAGATATAACTCTATATTCTATCACTTCCTAAAGGTTAGAGGTCATTCATGCCTTGGGAGGAATAGGGCCAGGAAAGACATGAGGAAGAAGGATATGCCGAGTCTTAAAAAATAAGTGGGTTGGATAGATGTGGGAAGGCCATTGGAGACAGGAGCGGCACAGCAAAAGCATGGGGTCATGAGTTAGCAGGTGGGGACCTCGGGTGGAATGGAAACGAGTGGCAGACGGCTTACTGGCTGGAAAGCTCAGGTCTGTGGGCAGCGGTGATGTGATCTGCTTTGTACATAGAACGAGCATCTGGCAGAGAGAGGAACGTGGTTTCGAGGCAGAGGCAGCCCATCCAGGCACTCGTTACATGTTTGTTCGCTAAATGGATGGAGTTTAACAATTACTGTATGTTCCAGCCACTCTACTGGACTCTGGGCTCGGAGCAGGCAACAACACAGATGCTGTGAATGGCCAGTTGTTAGGGTAGTCCCATTGGAAGATGATGAGACCTGGATTTCCCTGAAGCAGTGTGTTTGAGAGGAAGGGATGGGTCTGTGGGGTTCTAAGAAGATAAAATCAAAAGAACTAGAGGACCAGTGGGACAGGGTGGGCTGGAGAGATGAAGACTCTGAAGTCGAATCTGAGGTTTCTGGTTCATTGGAGGGAGCACAGGAGGAGCAGGAGCAGATGTGGGGAAATAGGTTAAATACGTATGTACATCCCCGTGACAGAATCCTTAGGAAACATACATTTGATGTCTGTAACATTTATTTCGAGAGATGTATTGTTTAACCAAACCTCTGTTATACACTTTTGTATTTTTTTTCAGTTTTTTCACTCTTATAAATAACACTGTATTAAACAGCTTTTTCAAAGGTCTTCGCCACGCAGTCATCGGGTATGAACAGCCTTGAAGCTTTTGTTTCATATTCAGATTGCAGTGTAGGCGAGTTCTACCTCAGCTCAGCACCACAAGCTGAGAGACACACATAGGTGAGCGCGTGCGCGTGCGCGCGCGCGCACACACACACACACACACACACACACATAGGTTGGGGCAAAAGCAGGTTTACAATTGTGAGTACACAAAACGGAGTTTATTCTTGTATTATCATTTGTTAATTATTGTATTTTCCATACAAACAACTGTAAACTTACTTTTGCCACACCCTGTATTTTAGAGGATAAAAATAGTATCTGGTTACACAAATTTGCATTTTTATCACTAATGAGTTTTTCATGCTTACTAACCTTATTTTATGTTCTTTTCCCATTTTGGGGGGTCTCGTTGACTTTTTATGAATTTTTTAAATATGTATTATTTATGACAATATTTCCCACTTTGTTTCCTTCCTAATTTTGCTTATTATATTTTTTATGAACCAAAGCACTAACAGTGTTTACAAAGTCAGAATTCATTGACCACCTTCTTCATTTCTAACATTGCACTAATGTTTAGGATGCTCAATGGTAAAATATACATCTAAATTTTCTTTTCCTTTTCCTTTTAGCAGGAGAGGCAGTGAGTGGCTCTTTTTTCCCTAAGTAGCAAATTTTCAAACGTCACTTGCTGAGAAACTCGCCTTGTTCCCGCCGACGGTGCAGCTTCCCGTCACATAACCTAAGCGCGTGCATGCAGACTGACCTGCTTCTGGGCTGTCGTGGCTCATTGATCTTTGTGTTGATTCTTAGACATCTGTCAGTGCTTTAATCATTGCAGACTTATAATATACTCTCATATCTAATTTTTAAATGTATCTGTTAAATATTTGGATGGGTTTTTAGAATCCTTTTGGTACATTTCAAAAAAGAAATCCTGTTGGGATTTTACTTAGAATTAAGTTAAGCCTACTTTAATCTGGGAGGAAGTGGCATTGTGTTAATATTCAGCCTTCTCATCCAAGATATGGCTTGTCTCCCATTTTTTTTCAAGTAATTTTTTAGATCTCTCAAAGGATTGCAGCTTTTTTTTTTCCTTTTTACTACAGATCCCACATACTTAAGTTTATTGATCAGTATTTGATTATTTTTTTGTTCGGATTGCAAATGGGATCTCTTTTATATTATATCTGGTGACTTTCCTATTGGAGTACAGATCCTATTACTAAATTATTTTACCCATTAAGTTCATTGATTCTTTTAGGTTTTCTAAGCAAATAACAAACTCCCTGCAAATAACAGGCTGGAGCCCCTGGCTTGGCGATGCCTCCAGTCTGAGGGCTGGTCTGTGAGTTCCTCCAGCAGTACTCAGGAGCCCAGTTGTAAGGGTGGTAAAGAGCCGATGCCAAGTTCAGGGCTTCCCTGGGCTGGGGCACTAGGGAGGCAGGGGGCAGGGAGTTGACTCATGAGAGAGTAGCTGAAGTGTATGCTCCAGGGTCTTGAACAGAAAGGCAGGGCTGAGGACTAGAGGGAGGGAGCGTGAGGAGGGGCAGTGGTGGCCTGGACTGCACACGGGCTGTCAGGTTTCAGAGCGGAAGCCGGTCCTGTATGGTCCTGAGATCACTGAGGGAGGAGTGGTCCCATCTTGCAGTTACGGGAACTGAAGCTCAGAGAGCTTGCCACGTGACTACCAGCTCTGGTCGGTGGCAGGACTGGGACTGGAGTGTTGTTCTGGGCCCCGTACTAGCTGACATTCTGTCTTTATTTTTCAGGTTCACTTTAGAACAGTTGACTGAGAGCCAGGAGAGGAGGCGAGCCCAGCAGAGCAGATAGGAGAGAGAGGGCAGGCTCCTCCTGGGCCCCTGAGTAGCTGCGCAGGGTGGGGGCCAGCTGGGCCGTTGGGTCTTCCTGATGACCCAAGAACCCCCTCAGGCAGAGCAGTTCACCTGAGTGTCCCACACCCTCTGCTCTGCCGTGCAGCTCACTCTGGACCCTCATTACACACTGTGGCACCACCATTTGCTCACTGTTCCCACCACACACCCTTGTCTCTCACACACTCTGCGTCCCCAGCACACACCACGTCCTCCCTCTGCCCGCTGTGTTTATCCCACCTGCCCCGGGTCCTCCAGTACACTTCACGCCCCCACCTTGTTTCTCATTTGCCTTTGAGTCCCTGCCACTCACACAGTCCCCTCACAGCTGTGTGCCCAGCTCACGCCCAGCTGTGCTGTGTCCACAGAGTGCATCGGACGGCTTCTGGAAATCTGTGGCCACCCGAGTGCCCAAGGAGCCCCCTGAGATTCGTATCCTCAACCCGTATTTCATCCAGGAAGCTGCCTTCACCCTCATCGGACTGCCCTTCAACAATGGCCTCATGGGCCGCGGGGTGAGAGGCTAGGCCAGGAGAGGGTGGGGAACTGGGTCAGAAGGACCTTGGGAAGAAAGGACAGACAGACGGGAGGGGGTTAGGAGGGGGTGGGAGGAGGAACGGACAGGGTAGGGGGGTGGTTCCAGTCCTCAGGAATGGAGCTCAGCTCTGGGAAGCTTAACTGAGGATCTCAGCCTCGCCCAGCCCTCCAGCTGAACTCTGCGCCTGCCCCTCCTCCAGAACATCCCGACCCTGGGCAGTGTGGCCGTGACCATGGCGCTGCATGGCTGTGATGAAGTGGCAGTCGCAGGCTTTGGCTACGACATGAGCACACCCAACGCACCCCTGCACTACTATGAGACCGTGCGCATGTCAGCCATCAAAGAGGTGAGGGGCTGGGTGGGCAGGGCCGACGGGGGGCACTTCCAGCACCGAGGACAGGCTCCGACTGTTCACCGTGAATGGTGACTTGATGAGCCAGCGGCTGCTCCGGCTGCCCAGAGCTCCAGGAAGGTGCCACTACCCAGCTAAGGAGGCCCATTCCTGCCTGCGGGCCTCTGACCACGAAGCATCCTCTGTGCCCCTCCCCACGAACCCAGAACCCCGTCCCGTTTCCTTCCTGAACCTTCCCTCTCCAGCTCTCTCCCTGCCCGGGTCCTGTACCTGCCTCCTCCTTGCGGTTCCCCAGCCGTCATATGCTAATCTTGGCAGCAGCTCAGAGCAACCCTCTCTACCTCAAGTCATCTTTCTCCCAGAGGACTCCTTGACCCCTCAGACAACCCACAGACATTGCCTCCAGGTCTCAGGACACCCCATACCTCCTCCACCCTCCCCATGGCCAAGCCCTGAAGCTCATTAGAACCCAGAATGACCTCCCCCGTGATCCATGTGCTCAGGCTCCTTAAAGTGGAAGAAGCCTTACAGGTCTCCCAGCCTGTCACCACCTCCCGCATCTCTCCCTCACGGCAAGAGCTCACGAGGAAATCGGTCCCTGTTCCACCTTCACTTCTACCGCTAGCCTGGCCCTGGTCCCCGCCTAGAACCTGGACCTCGGGTTAGCACGTTGAGGAGCTTCTCTGCTGCACTGGTGTGGGGTCGCTGGAGGAACTCTCATAGTTCTCATCTCAGCTAGCCCTCACCCCTGCTCCCCGGTCCTCACACGCCCTTCTCCAGCCCCCTGCCCCTCCCGCGAGAACACGGCTGCAGGGGGACTGTCCGCTCCTGCTGGGTGTCCCCTGTGCACTCCTCACTCCCACTTGGTCCTTCGCCCCGCGCAGTCTGGCTGCCCCTTCACTTGACACGACTCCCACCAAGGTCACCAGTGACTTACCTCAAGGCTCCAAATCCGATGGACACGTGGAAGTCCCACCTTTCCCGGTCTCTCAGACACCTGTGCTGACCACTCCTTCCTCTTGGAAACCCTCTCCTGCTGAGACTTCTGAGTCAGTAGCTTCTGGTGTTCTGATTCACCCGCCAGGCTCTCTCGTTCTCTTGCTCGGTGTCCTTGATTGCGGTCCACCCCTTAAGAACCAGCATCAGCCAGGGCTCCATCCCAGGCCGCCTCTCCTCACACTGCAGGTTCTCCGGGAGACTGGTGTCCCCAGCCATGGCTTCAGTCACCATCTGGACTGTCTGCGGCTCTTTGGGTTCATTCAGGCTACCTCCAGTAATGGGAGCTTATTTCAAGTTGATAAGAAAGACTTGGGAGTCTCATGGGAAATCAGAAACGGTCTTCCCCGGGCCTCCCGCTGCCAGGAATGGGATTCAGGAGTGGGAAGCGCCTCCCGGTCGGTTCCAGAACCGTCTTGCCCTCACCAGCGGCTCCTGCCTCCTCATTACCCCGACTCCGTTAGTCATCCAGCTCTGTCTCTCTTGATGTGTCTTGTTGCTTCTTTGTCCCCTGCCAGCACCCACTCCAAACTCTTCTCACAGCTTTTACCTGCCCCCGGCGTCTGTTTACTTACACATTTGCTCTCTTACACAAATATTGTGAACACTGTCAAACATATTCATAAACGTAGAGAATAACATAATGAACTTCCATGTAAACTTGAGAGACCGTAGACGTAAGCAGTCGCTGGATCATGAGGGGCTTTCTCTGCCATGGCGAGGAGTTTGGACTTCGCTCTGAAGGCCGGAGGGAGCCACAGAGGCAGAAGCATTTTAAGCCGAGGATTAGCATGCAGTGGGCTTACTGTGGCTGCAGCGTGAAATCGAGGCGTGCAGGGCGGGAATAGAAACCAGTTAGCAGGCTGCCCAGCAGTCGAGGCAAGAGATGAAGACTCCTGACCCGGACACAGCAGAGAAATCCAGGCTGGAAATGTACATCTGTGAGTTGTGAGCACAACTGCATGTTCAGACACAGGCCAGGCGTGTGTGAAATTTCCCAGGGAGACGGTAGACTGGGAAGTGCAGGCAGTCGGCACCCCAGGAGCACCAACATTTAGTGACGGGGTGAGGGAGGAGGAGCAGACATCAGACAGAAAAAGAGCTGTCTGAAGGAAGGCTCTCTGAGAGTGGCCGCTGAGTGGGATGGACATCTGCCTCCAAAACCAGAGGTCCTGGTGAGGCTGGGGACACGGGACCAGAGTCGCGCCCCAGGCTGTAGACAGTGCAGACAGCGTAGTGCCAAGAGCTCTGGTCATCTGTGTGCCTGCCCGGAGGAGGAGTTGAGAGAGCACCCGAGAGGTGGCATAGCCTGGGCAAGAGAGCTACACCCCAGGCAGACTATAAAAAGTGAACACTGTCAAACATATTCATCAACACAGAGAATGATATAACGAACTTCCATGTAGCTGCCACCTGGCCCCTCACCCCGCCCCCCCCAACCCCCAGTGATCAGCACACAGCCAGTGTTGTTTCATCTGTTTCTTCCTCATACTTTTACTCCCCACTGATTATTTAGAAACAAGTCTCAGATATATCATTTCAGCCAAAAACATTTCAGTAAGTTTTTCAAAAAGATAAGGACTATTTTCTACTATCACAATACCACGATGACACCTAGAAAAATTAATAATTCCTTCATATCATCAAATACCCAGTCCTTTGCTGACCTTTCACTCCTCAGTGACTCCCAGGGGGCGCCCTTGAAGCTGATCTGTCAGACTGGTTACTTCTCCCGGGGTTGGTGAAGAGGTGGGTAAGGGAAGAGCTGTATGAGTGTCTCCATTTGCTTGGATCCTGGCCCTGCCATTCCTCCAGGCCTCCGTCGTCTTACCTATAAAATCTAATTCCATTCGACACATACTTACTGAGCACCTGCTCTGTGCCAGATTGTCCCTGCCTTCAGAGGGGTGAGGCAGATGCTTGCATCTCTAAGAAATGAGGGCACGTCACCCAGGGGTCTGCAACAGCAGGGGCAACGCGCTGAAGGCAGAGAGTATAGTGACGGGTTGGAGAGAGCTACTGGGTCAGAGTAAGGACCAGACAGGGCTGTAAGGTCTCAGCACCGCTATCTCGCGCCTGTGGTGTCACTGTGGTGAGGCTCAGTGCCGACAGACGCAGCAGAGCAGTCGGGTGGGTACAAGCTCTGCACCCGAGATGTGATGAATGCCCAAACCAGGCTATTGGCCTTCGTTCGCTCACTTAATCCTTTTTCTTTCTTTGAGAGACTTAGTCACCAAAGCTTCCTGATGAGGACGGGGTTGGAAAGAACCTGAACCTGGGTGCAGTCTCACCCAAGGAGAAGGCAGCATCTTCCCTGTAATTTCCACATTAACAGTGACATGGGCCTGTCCCCCTCTGGCCTCCGGGCTCCTCTGACCCGAGAGGCAGGATTTCATCAGCGGCCCCCGGGCCTGGAGAAGTGGGTTGCATCAGGCCAGAGAGTGACTAAGCCACCCCACCAGGCTCTTTTCAGCAGGTCCACCCCCAGGCCTGGGCAGGGCCTGGTGACTCACATTGCCAGTCCTCAGGGTGCCTGGGACTTAGGTGCCCCAGACCTGCTGCTGGACAAGGAGGGTTGAAGTCTTTGCGAACACGGTTGGAAAGCCTGTACCTCCTAAGGTTACAAGAAGTTAAGAGGCAGTTCTGGGGAGGGAGGGCGGTGAGCTGTGGCACAGAGCATCGGAGGGTGGTGGTCAGAACAGGGCACTGAACCCTGGGAGGTACATGCTAGTGGGGCTGTGTCCTAGCAGCCACCAAGGCTGCCCCGCTGACCGCTTCTCCATCTCTTTCCTCCCAGTCCTGGACACACAATATTGAGCGGGAGAAAGAGTTTCTGCGGAAGCTGGTGAAAGCGCGTGTCATCACTGACCTAACCAGTGGCATCTGAGATGGGCCCAGCACATGGCACGGAGGTCCCAGCACCGCCACAAGCAGGCAGCAGCCGCCGCCACCTGCCCACTTCATTGGCCTTGGTCTGGCTCTGCCTGAGAGGCACAAGAGTGTTGAGACCCAGAGAAGGACAGTGCCAAGTGGCCCCACGGGTGGCGAAGCCTTGGCAGGGCAACCAGAGCTGTGTCTGCTCAGAGACCAGCACTCGGCCTCACTCTCAGCCTGGATCCTTGAAGCCAGAGCTCCAGGAGGCCGCTGGCCGAGCCCCGCAGGCCCAGCATGCCGGAGGTGGACGTTAGGTAGCAAGGCGGCTGCCGGAATTACTTCTCCAATCAGTGTTTGGTGTATTATCATTTTGTGAATTGGGGTGGGGGGTGGGGATAATTTATTTTTAAATAAGGTTGGAGATGTCGAGTTTGGTACACTTGCCATGCAGAGAGGGCCCACCAGGCGGGGGTGCCAGTGGGCTCCCTGTAGAGTGGGAGTGCCATGACTAGCCTGTACTCTGCTCAGAGCTGCAGGGAGCTGGGCGGGAGCTCATGCCAGCCCCCTGCAGTTCGTGACCCTGCTTGGCCTTTCTTGGGGAGAAGACGGGACCCTCCCACATACCAGCTGCCCACTGTCCACAGGGAAACCCCGGAGCCATTCTTTAAGCCAACAAGACAGCCCCTGGGCTAGAGCAGAGAGAACTCGGAGCTCAGGAGGCGAGGCCTGGCCCAGCCCGAAGAGAATGGCCCCTCCCCAGCTGCTACTGATCCACAGGACAGTGCCCAGGCCTGGACTGACCAACTTGGCAGCTGTTCTGGGTTTCAGCAGGACTGCCAGGTCCTTGGGTTCTGCCTTGAGCCTGGACCAGAGGGAAGTGAGGCTTACGGACCTTACCCAGGCTGCGGCAGCCATCCTGGGCAGCCATCATGGAAGCAATAAAGCTCTTCCCTGAGCCCGGCCTCCGCTTGCTTTCTCTTTCCTGCAAGAAACAGGAACCTGGGGCCTCAGCAACTATGCTAAACCCAAGGGTCATCTCTTCAGCTCAGATTCCTGGGTTCCTTTCACTTCGGTGCCAACTGCAGGCCTAAGGGCATTCTGGAGCCTCTCTCCTCCCACACAGTCCTGCACCCTCTTTGCCTGAAAAGAAGTAGACCAGGGGCCTCGGGGCCTGCCCAAAGGGCAGAGGATTGAAGCCCACGGTTCCAGGACAGTGCCTCTGGGTCCCGCAGCCCCATCACTGCAGGGACAGGTTCCTGCAAGTACAGGAAAGATACCCTGCTGAGCCCCCGACACAAAGAAGCCCACAGACCTCACCCATTCCTGGCACCCCCGGCTGAGCCTGGAAAGGGCTGTCCTACCCCCACCTGAGCACACAGGCACACCCTCTCCTCTGCCCCCTCTTCTCTCAGACAGGAAGGCACAGCCCAGCTCTAGGCACTCTGGCGACTATTAGAACGGATGTCTCTTCCCGCCTCACCCCTTAGAGCCCTGGAGTCTGACCCCGACCCTTCCCAGGATCCCCACGCAGGCCTGAGAATGGGCCCAGCACAGGCCAGCAGCTGAGACCATGGAGTGAGCTTCCGGCCAGAGCTGCCACCTTGGCTGGGACCCTTGCCTCTCACCTGCCATCCCCATCCACTCCGCCGCCTTCCCACGTGTGCCCTTACTGCTGTGGTTCTCAGGCAGGAGCCTCCTCCACTGAGGGGAAAGCAAAGCCCTGACTGAGGGACAGGCAAAACCAGAAACTCCCTCGGATCTGCTGGGTCGCTGCGAAGCACTCGAATGCACGTCGTATTCTGCGTGAGTGGTGCCCCCTAGAGTTGTACAGGGCATAGGCAGCGCGCCTGCAAGCCACAGCCAGGGCTGATAAAGCCCCAGGGAAGCCACCCAACTGGGAAGCCAGTTGTGAGAGGCAGCAGACAGTGGAGCTGCTCACCACCTGGCCTCCTGCCCCTCAGGGGTCCTCAGGCCCGCAGACACCCCCCACACCACCCGCAGTTCTCTGCACTCTGGCTTGTAGCCTCCCCCTGTGCACAGAAACTGCTCTCACAAAAGCAGTGGTCTCAGCCCTGGCTGGCACCAGAAACACCTGTGCGGACTTGGAAACCAGCACATGCGCACACCAAGGTTCTGATGCAGGGCTGGGGTAGAGCCCGGAGGCGGGCAGTTTTAAGAGGTCCTACGGGTGTTCTAACACATGGCCAGGCCGTAGCTGGTCCACACACACTCCCTGAGCACTTCCATTTCCACCCACGGTTTCCAATTGTCAGTTGGTCCACAGTTCCCGAAGTGCCATCTCCAGCCCAGCTCCCTCCACTCCACTCCAGGCTGCAAGTTCAGCAGCATCCTGAACTTTTCCAGGAGGAGAATCCGCAGGTCCTCCTGGCTCAGCGTGTCCATCACTGACCTGAGCTCCGGCCCTCCCCCAGGGAGTTCTCCTGCCAGAATGCATCCCCTCCACCAGGTCACCCGGCCTGCAGCATGCCCGTGTCTGCCCTCCCTCAGCCCATCAGTCAGGCACCAGCTGGGTTCTCAAAGAGCTGTGATCCAGAAAGACCCGTGCAGTACCCCCCACTCTCCCCGCCACTCTGCTTCCCACTCACTCCCTCAGCAGCCTCCTGACATCTCCACCCCTCTTCTCCAAACCACCCTCCCCACTGCAGCAGTCAGAGAAATGTAAGCCTGATGCACCATTATTCTGCCTGAAACCCTTCCGTGGTCCCCAGTGTCATCAGGATAAAGTCCAGACTCGCGGGTATGACATAGCATCTGGCCTTTCCTTACCTCTATGCATGTTACTCACCCTACTTCCACCCCACCTGCCAACTTGCCATAATTAGGCTTCTGAAATACTATCCCCCAGCTCATGAGCACATGAAATACTCCTCCTCCGTGAACCGCCCCCCCTTCTTCAGCACTAGGCACCCACTCCAGCGGCAGTGTTTACAGGTGTGTCTCTACTCCAAGCCCCAGGCTGCCAGGGTGAAGGGTGGCTGGAGCAGGGTCAGACTTGAAAGCCCCAGCACAGGGCCTGGCCCACCCAAGGAGTTCCGCGGGTCTGCTGAAGGAAGAAACTAGCAGTGGGCCAGAGAGCAGAGAGCAGTCACTGCAGGGTGGCCGGCCAGGGCCCTGAGACGGCGCCAACTGGAGGGCCGGTGGCCCAAGGCTGGGACTATCCTGTCTCCTCCCTCTCCCGCCCTCGGCCCGGCCTCCCAACTCCCTACTTCGCGTGTCTGTAAACTGAACGCCCACTTTCCTCGCCTCTCCGCCGCTCAAGTTCTCCACGCTGTGTCCTGGGTTTCCCACTTCCCAGTGTCCTCCCCTTCACCTTGGGGGACATAGCTGAGCCAGGGGGGGACCGGATCCCAGCGGGTGGAGCAACCAGGTGAACCCTGAAAGGTAGGGCGGGGCGGGGGCAGTTGGGCCCCACCCCGGGATCCGGTGACGCCGGGACTGGAATTTGACACCGGTCGGCGGCAGGCATGAGGCTGCTGAGGGATGGAGTTGGGCCCGGCCCCCAGACACGGCCCACGGGCTCCACGAGCAGCAGGTCCCTCGGGCCCCAGCCCTCGCTGCATCCTGGACCCAGAGCCCTGCACTTGAGGTAAGCCGGCTGTTGGCCCACCCTCATCCCAGCCCTGGAGTTAGGGGGAGCGGGCAGGAGCGTCCCCACCACTCTCTCCCATCCTCCCTCTCCCGGGCCCAGTGCGCGGCTCTTTGCCCCTCCCAGCCTCCTCAGTCCCTCTGGTCGCTTGAGGGACTGTGCTAGCCCTGCCAACCCACTGTAATGTGAGGCTCCCGCTGCCGCTACTGGGTGCAGACTGGCTGCCAAGGCCACGCTTTTGGCTAAAAGAGGCACCGCCAGGTGCATCGCCCTGGGCATGAGCCTTTCAGCTGCGGGAAAGTCCAGCACTGGTCCCAAGGACGGTGCCTAGAAGAACAGGGTGCAGGACCCTCATGGTGAGTCTCTGGCTGCAGATGGAAAGGCAAAGGCTGGGGGACCGAGTGGCCCCAAACCACCAGGAGGGAGAGAGGGGCTAGCTGCCCTCAAGACACCTGCTCCTGGGGTCCCCCTAGCACAGGAGGTCCTGACGGCTGGCTTGCCTGGCTTTCCCTCGAGCAGTGAGAAAAGTCACTGGCCCGGCCCCTCCGTGGCCCTATTCAGTTAGTTGAACACACCTGGACCTGAGATGGACCACACCAGGAAGGCCTGTGGAGGTCTGACCCACAGACATGCAGGTGACAGTTGGGACCCAACAGCAGGCCAGCTAGTGGGGCCCCAAGGGTGTTGGGGTTCAGGAAATCTGGTGGGGCTCAGAAAGGCCAGCTGGGCTCAGGAAAGATGGCTCATGCAGGAAACTTCTAAGAGTGGGGCCAGCTGTTAGATCCACAGGAAAGTGGAAGGAAGGGGGACAGACCTGGACCGGCGCTCGGGGCAGCTCAGCTCTCAGACCAGGCTGGTGTGGAGCTTGGCTGGCCCTCCTGGGAGTTGCTCAGGCCTGAGTCTGGCTGAGGGTAGGGAAAGCCCACCCCACTTTGAGTCTGCATGCTTGACAGATGCTGCCCCCTGGTGGCCATAGGGAACCATGGCCCAGGCCCCAGGTTCTTAGAGGGCCCATCGGCTGGCTCTTAAAGGACATCTGTGATCAAAAGAGAACTCATGTGGCTCTGGGTCCAAAGATCACAGAGGAACAAGGTTCGGCAGCATTGGATGGGCAGCACAGGCTGAGACCTGAACCTCACTATCATAAGAAAACTTGGACCAACCAGCAAGCACCCTAATTCTTCAGGCCACAGCTGCTTCTTGTATGGCATGGAGAGGAAGCTGTCTGGGGGACCAAGGGGGCCCAGCTACTCCCTTCTGGCAGCTCCAGCCCTGCAGCAGGAAGGCTGGGGAGGGGGGTAGGATATTTCCAAATACCCCCTCCCCCAGCTGTGTGGGTCTAGCCTTGTGACCTTAACTTGTTGACCTTCTCTGAGCTCATTTGGAAAATGGGGATTATACCATTTACCTCATGGAGTTGTAAGGACAGAGAGAGAAGAGAGAACAGGTGCAAAGCACCAACACAGAGTTAAGTTCCTGCTGCAGCTACTTCTCCCGGGTTGAGTCCGCCCATCCAACCCCTTGTTCCTCACCTGGGGAAACTGAAATGGAGGGATGACCTTCTCAAAGATAACTCCTCTCTCAATGTTCCAAGCTGCCTCCAGAAGAGGGTGGGGGAACAAGTCGACTAGGCTGATGGGAGATCCTGGTATTGACAGAGATGGAGCCTGGACGTGGAGGCCCTTCTGTGCTGCCCCGCTGGCCCCCGCCCAGGCGGCAGGTGAGTGGTCCTCCCAACGACTCCCACCTGGTATTGAGGGAGGTGGCTTGATCCGGGAGGGAGAGCCGGGTTTGCCCTGGGCAGGAGTCAGAAGTGAAAAGGAAAGTGGTCAGGGAGGGACCAGCAGTGTGGAGCAGTGGTTCTCAACCTTCCTAATGCCGCGACCCTTTAATACAGTTCCTCATGTTGTGGTGACCCCCAACCATAAAATTACTTTCGTTGCTACTTCGTAACTGTAATGTTGCTACTGTTATGAATCGTAAGGTAAATATCTGATATGCAGGATGTATTTTCATTGTTACAAATTGAACATAATTAAAGCATAGTGATTAATCACAAAAACACTATGTAATTCTATATGTGGTTTCCGATGGTCGTAGGCGACCCCTGTGAAAGGGTCGTTCGACCTCCAAAGGGGTCGCGACCCACAGGTTGAGAACCGCTGGTGTGGAGGCAGGTTGATGCCCTCAGGTGATTTCTCCTCTTGGCTCCCTTAAGCAGCAGACTCCAACCTAAGCCCTTCCCGACTCTCCCCACCCAACTAGAAGCCCCGCTCTGAGCTCTGCGGCCCCAGCCCTTCCTGGGCTCCCTCCACCCTGAGACCACCTGGGTGCCCTCTTCCTCCCTGAGGCTCCACCTTGTCTCTCTGCGCAGCCTGCCCTGTGGCCAGCGCTGGCCACTCTGGTGCTGCTGAGCAGTGTTGCTGAGGCCTCC